AACTCTCCTTTTCCGATGTTGCCATCCGGATCCCAGAAAGGCATCTCCTACCCTCCCTCCAACTGCCTGTGGGCTATGCTGTATGTTGTTTCAGCTACACCACCCCGGGTCCCCCTCCTGGACCTCTGTGGCCTTCTTTGCTTGAGGTCACCCCAGCCTGGGTCCTCTGTCCTCGTGTCTGTCCCTCAAGCAAACTGCTTTAGCTGCTTCCCATCCTCATGTTGGACAGAACAGGACCAGCCGCATTCTAGCGATTCTCTGTCCATCACCTGCTCCTGCAGGCCTGAGGCAGGAGGGAGGGAAAGCTGGTTCTCCTGAGGTGGCCTGAACACAGGGACATTTTACACAGGGAGTAGGGCTGGACGTTAAGTGCTGCAGGCACATGGTTCAGAATCACCTCCTGAGAGCTTTGCCGGAGGAGCCAGCCCAGCTTGCAGCTGGAAGCTGGATTCCCGGATAGAGCTAAGCCTGAATCCTGTACTGGGACACTTACTTAGCCATGACTCCAGACACAGCCTGAGCTTCACCATTCCGAGGTCCTTCTACCCGACTGAGCTATGAGAGTCATCACTTTTCCAAATACTTTGCCCAGCCCCAAACGGCCACCATTCCCAGATCAGAAACACTGAAAGGTTGGGCAGGATATATAGAGTGGTTCGTAGGAAACGCCCACCTATGCTTTTTTGCAACTGTCAGGGAGAGACCATTCCTCCTGTCCTTTCGATGTGGGACGCAGCAGTCCCTTTCTCCCCCAACAAGAGCAGCAGGGCTCCTTGGATCTGACCTTGAGGTGACCCTTGGTGGGTCACCCCGCGACGAGCAGGTCAAGCTGTAAACTTGCCCGCAGCCCGCGACCTCTGCCTTCCTTCGCCTCCACCTCGGGAAGGTCAGTCACCACCCGCATATCCGACTGCAGGAGAACTATGCTACTGAAGGCACCCTGGGAAGGAGTGCAGCCTGGGCCTGTCTTGGAGCGCCCTCTGGTGGCTGTACGGAGACCTGCAGTTTGTTCTTTATGTTGGTCATCTTCCTCAAGTCAAGGCACCAGCCCTAGCCGGGCCTGCCCACACCCCCATCATCATGATTTACCTAGCTGAGGTCTTGGTTCTGCTCCTGCTTTTTCCATCTACACAGCCCCCGCAGTCACCCAGTCCTGCCTTAACCCACACATCTTCCGGTTTCTTTGTCCTACCCTACAACGAAATCTTACACAATCTTTCCACAAAGAATTGACCACATCATTTCCAGCTTTATCCTCTAGCCTGGCTCCCCCAAACCCCCAGGACCAAAGTTAACTTCTCTGGAACCTTCAAACTCTGCACCAACAAGACCTATCTTGACCCCATTCTTTTTGTTTGTTTGTTGTTTTTTGAGACAGGGTTTCTCTGTGTAGCCCTGGCTGTCCTGGAACTCGCTCTGTAGACCAGGCTGGTCTTGAACTCACAGAGATCCTTCCAAGCACTGGGATTAAAGGCGTGCACCACCAGTACCAGGCTCTTGAGCCCATTCTTATCTTACTCTGTTCTTCGGCATCGCTGTTGGTCTCAGTCTTTGCCCAACTGGGATGTTAGCCTGCTGTACTTCTTCACCTGGAAAACTCCTATTCATACTTCATGGTTCCAGTCCACTCTGGGAAATTGCCCCCAGAGCTTGGTCTCTGTCCTTGGGGCTCCATGGGCTCTGAGTCAGTACCTGCCTGCTCTTGTCAGTATGTCTGTTTTGTCCACCAGATGAGAGAGCAGTCTGCAAGTAAGGACTTTGTGATTCTCACTGGAATCTTGACAGATGTCTACACTGGTGACTAGAATAGAGGTCAATGCAAGGCCAGCTGAGACATTGACCAAGTCTTCGATGGGGACCTAAACTCTTCCCTGGTGGTGACTCCAGAACCCATGGTAAAGCATCAGCAGCTGTCAACGGTCAGTCATGTGATGTGGGGTGGGCACTCCTGGGAGCAACCCTCATCTTCAGCTTTGTCACATTAACTAGGAGGGGGGAGGTGAGAGGTAAAAGGTGGGAGGGGACTGCTGGCACTGGTCATCTTGGCTTTAGTTTACCATGGGCCTAGGAATTTGGCTTTGGCCTGAGAGTAACTAGGGACTAACAGGCAATAGACAGTTTCCGGGTGGGAAATCCCCTCTTGCAGCTGGCATAGAACCCATTCCCCAGTTTGTGCTGTTTGGGGATTTTTGGAGTCTTTTTGTTTTGGTTTATTTTTAAGTTGAGGATGACCTTGAACTTCTAATCCTCCTGCCTCCACCTTAGAAGTGCTGGGATCACAGGTGTGCACCACCACATCCTTTATGTACTGGGAGTGGAAGCCAGGGCTTTAAGCATTCTGGGTAAACACTCTTCCATCTGAGCTGCAAGCATGGCCCTTTGCTGGGTCTTTTTGATGATCGTGAGACCTGGGGGTGCCTCTGGTAGTTAGTGGGTCTTAGATTCAGGGTGATGTGTTTGTAGGGCAGTAAACAGCTTACAGAGCTGGCCCACAGACCACCTGACTTGAGTATTTCCCAAGGGCCGTTTCATATGGAGTGCTATTTAAAAACTTATCTTATGTTTATGGGTGTTTTGCGGTATTTGTGTCTGTGCACTGTGTGTGTGCCTGGTGCCTGTGGAGACCAGAGGACGTCATTAGATCCTCTAGAACTAGATTTCTAAACCATTTATTGTGAGTGATGGAAATCAAACCCAAGTCCTCTGGAAGAGTAGCAAGCACTCTTAACTGCTGAGCCATCTCTCCAGCCCCTGGAGTGCTGTTTTTGATGGAATGCCCAGAGTCCCAAGTGGCTTACACAAGAATATAGAGTATTTTCTGTAGTTATTACTACACATAGAATGTGCTAGAAATACAACAACCACGCAGAGTGGAGGAAGATGGTTCCTGTCCCTTTGGAAGCATACTGAATTGTCATAATTTGGGGACATTATATACCTACCACAGAAACACTCAGGCATTTGAATTGAATTATCTCTTGGCATTGGAAGCTGGCTGTCACACTTCAGGATTCTATGGATAGGCACAATGTTCGCCAGTGTAATCAATGAATATATCTCCAATTTGAAATACATATGGCTTAAGGTTACTTTGCTCATTTTTAATTTAACTAGCACTTGTTTAGCTGTTTAAACACCTTAGTCTTTAAACACAGCTAGCCCCTAAGACAGTTCTACCTAGTGAGGGGTTTTATTTTTTAAATGGGAAGTTAATGGAGGTTCAGAGATGCCAAGTAGCTCACCCAAGGTCACAGAACTGAAAAGTGGGTAACCGGGAATTGAATTAGTCCTACTGGCCTACCGTATTCCCTTCTGATGTGGCCAGCTGGGCATAGAACCCAGGGCCAGCTCTTGCTCTCTGGTGTTCCTTGGCCTCTACTGGCAACCCATGCTGGCTGGCTTTGTCCACTGAAGACATCACAGGACCACCGAACTCCTTGGCCTCTAATGGCAACCCATGCTGGCTGGCTTTGTCCACTGAAGACATCACAGGACCACTAGGTGGCAGCTGCGGGATGAGGGCGGGGTGGCCTAGGGCTGGGTGAACCGGTGCCTGTCTCCCCCATACCCGAGGACCTGCTATTAAACCTTTCCGGTGCTGCCCAGGTACCTGGAATGAAGCACAGCTGCGCTGTAAAGTCTCCTGAAGCTGGGGTTGTTACCACATCTTACAGATAACAGAATACTCAGAGGGCATAATCCCCTATTTGGGAGGTTCAGGTGCGGATCTGTTTAGCTGTGTTCCCCCAAAAGTGGAGCATGACTTCCCCAGGACTGTTGGGAGGAGTCCCAGGTCAAGTGAGAACTGGGGTGGATGGGGTGGGTGCCCCAGTAAACAGGGCGTGTCTCCAGCCTTGGAGAGAAGGCAGCCCAGTAAGGATGGCGTGCTCACCTGGACCCACTCGGGCCTTCAGTCCCTTTCTGAGCCCTGGGTACCCAGGGGCACTGTGGGCTGGCGATGCTTGGTGACTGCTGCATACTGATACCTGTGATGCTCATAGTCCCATCTGCTGCTTCCCCAAGGACATCTCAGAGACCCAGTAGCTGCTCTGCCAGACACAGCAGAGTCCAGGACCTTCAGGGCAAAATCCACCATTCCTGACCTGGTGGAGGGTGCCCTCTGCCAGGGGCTTATTTCAAGAAGATCCTAAAAGGAGACTGCCCCATCGGGGCAGCAGACCATGAAAGAAGGGTTGCTGTGTCACCTGGCAGGGTTTTTTTGAGATGATGGTAACCTCTGGCTCCACCCAGTGCAACATGTGACTGTGAGGTTAGACAAAGAGAAGGACTTTCCAGGAAGGGGGTGGGAGCGGCCGTGGAGGAGCACTATTTTACTTAGAGCTGACCCTCAGCGGAAAGGTTCATCTTGGACCTAAGGGACATTTCTAAAGTTGCAAACATCAGAGACAAAGATCAAGGGCAAATGGGGAGACAGAAAAGGCTCCGTTTGGCTGGTGAGGGTGTGGGAAAGGTAGAAGGGCGTCAGGCGAGCACGTGGTCCGGGGTCCAATGCCTACTTAGACATTTTACTGAGAGCCACAACGACAGGGACTGTGGGGCAGGGTGGGACTCGGGAAGCAACAGGGTCAGGAGCCCGGGTGAGAGGAGGGGCCGTGCTAGCTCAGGTGTGGAAGAAGCGGGCTAGGAAAGGGCGGGTGGGAGCACTTCTGAGCAGAGGCGGGGCGGGAAGACGGAGGCCGGAAGCCGCAGTGTACTGTGGCTGAGCACTTGCGAGAAGAGGGAGAAGCCCCGGGAACCCTGACCGGCCCTTCCAGGGACTGGACTGCCTGGGAAGAGGCTGGTGCACTGACCCAGGGTCAGGCCCAGGGCCTTGTCTGGAGCTGAGGCCTCCAAAGGGGCTTGTGTCTGTGAGGGGCGGTGGGTCAGACCCTCCGCGAGGACCCTGCCCGGGGAGAAGCAGTGGGAGGCGGGGCAGAGGGGGAGGGCAGGAGGAGGGGCCGGGCCTCTGTCCACCGCGTCAGTGCTGGTTGGAGGGACGAAGGGGCGCGGAGCCCGCCGAGCAGAGGGTTCCCACAGGCGAGCAGAGCCGGCTGCCATGGCGCTGGTGGGGCCTCAGATCTGGGGCTCCAGAAGAGAAGTCCACCTCCTGTTGCTGCTGCTGCTGCCCTGGGTCCCGGCTGGTGAGTGTGGCTGGGCCTGGGAGTGCACCCCAGGCAGACACTGAAGGCCTGGCCTGAGAGACTGGTAGCCACGCTAGAGGGAACCGTGCCCTGGGCCCCAGAGTGTGTGGGGATCCTGAGATTGGGACTCACTTGGAGCGCTAGGAGTGTCCTGGTAACTTCATACTGAGGAGCCTATGCAAGTGGGCCTGGAGGATCAGGGCTGATGTGATCTGCGGAAGCAGCTGGGAGACCAGGTATAGGTGGTGTGGTGTGGTGTGGTGTGGTTAGGGAAAGCTGAGGATCTTGGTGTAAGTGCCCCTTAGGGAAAGCATGCTGGTCTAGGTGGAAGCGAATGAACTGGAGAAATTTCAGAGAACCCAGGCGATCACCATAGAGTCTACTGGAGCCATGTGTTGAGCTGGGGTTCAGGTGGCATGTAAAGTTGCCAGGCAGTTGGCTTTCGGGGTTGGCCAGCCTGTAGAAATTCTGTCTGAGGGGACTGAGTGTAGAGAGTTGTGTCCTATATGAACTGGTTGTAAGTTGTCTCGAATGTTCAACTGGCTTTTCCTGGCACCTGGAGGTGTGAGTGGGGTTTGGGGGGTGGGTTAGAATAGAAAACGGTAAGAGAACCAGGGTGGAGGGGGTGCTTGCCCCCATTCCTGCCCCTTTGACTGCGCTTGAGAGGCAACCATTATAGCTGTTCTGGATCTCTGGGATGGCTAGGGATTTGGGATCATGTGTGTGTCCCCTGCAGACTATCTCTGGCATTCCTCCGCTAGGCTGGAAGGGCTCCCTGAAGCCAGCCCAGGCAGCCAATGCTCTTTTGCCTTTGTCCAAGTGCATTCAGCATTGAGCCTGGAATTCCTACTGGGGGGTCTGGAGGGAGTTTTGGTTTGGTTGCTATAGCTACAAGGGCAACAGGGAGGGCCTGGGTTCTGCAGCTGGTGAACCCCACCTGTGGCATTCCCTCCGCCTGTCCACTAAGCCTTTATTGCCTTTTCCTCTGGGGCAGGAGGAAGGATTAGTATAGTGTAGACCCCATTTTGTAGGGAGGAAACGAAGGCTGGAGGAGGAAGGGACCTGGAAGCTGGGTACTTGAGGCAAATGAGGATGGAGAAACCAGGCAACTCCAGGTTGTCTGCACATTAAAGACGAGGTTCTGGTCTGTGCTCTTTGGGTTTGTCCCACCTGTACTAACCAGCTACAGAGATGTTTGGTACAGGACACACACTACAACAGGACAGGTGTCCATAGGCACATGCCAGGTAACCCTGAACTCATTTTCTGAGGAACCTACCGTGTATCCCCATGTGCACAGCACATGCCTGCATACAGCAGTAGACTGCACTGACATTCATTCGTTCACATAGGATTGTTCACGTACATGGACTATGAGTGTATCAGAGGTGCAGAGGGAATACCATGTCCCATATATTCCCTTGGACCCCCAGTGGGCTCTCAGGGCAGCCATTTCCTGTGACTTCTGTATGAAGAGCCCATCTCCGGGAACCCCTGAAGCTGGAGTGGGGTACTACAGACACCATTACCAGAGACTTTGTGACTTGAACGCTAATTTCCATCTCAGAGGAGATGAAAGTTCTGGAGGCTCAGATGCCCACTCCTGCCAGGCCCTGAACTGGGCCCCTCCATCCCAGCCACTCTGCAGCAGAGGACTGCTTGTTGCCATGGAGAGGATGAGGCATCTTGGAGTACAAAGGGACACGTTGGGTTGTTCCCACCCCCCCCTTTCTCTGAACACCCAGGGAGCACAGCACACAAAGGGGCAGCCAGTCTTCCCCAAATCTGGCCCCTCCTCCAAGTTGAGGGGTGGGGCATTATAGGAGAGAAACAGGATGCCACACTCTTCCAACCAATGGTGGTGGGGGGTCTGCTGGCTGCTGGGTGATGGCTGAGTCACACTACCCATTATGTGGAGAGCTTTTAATCCTCCCAGCAGCCAGTGAAACTGCCTCTCCACCCTCTGTTTGCAGAACAGGTGAATGAAACTCAGAGAGGGTCAGTAACTTGTCTAGGGTCACAAGAGCAATATGTGGTTGGGCCAGGATCACACAGGTACTTTAGGTGCAAACCCAAGTGTGGAGGAGTCAGTTTTCTCCCTCCATATTCACATGGCTTCTGAGGATCAAACTCAGGTCATCAGTCCTCCACAGCAAGCGCCTTTACCTGAAGAGACATCTCGCTAGCCCTCAAAGAAATTTTAGATGGAAGCACATTAATAATCACTAGAGAAACAGTCCACAGTAGCCAAAACAAGTGGCAGGTCTGAACAATCCTGCTTGTGTTCTCTTTCATTCAGAGCAGGAGACCAGGGACTAGCAATTTCAGTATGTACCAGGCACTCCGTTGGTACACCTATACTTGCCAGGACTGTTACTAAATTATGCCTTTTGGCCTTGGGGTAAACATCTCTGGAAAAGTATATCTGAGCTTCCCTGCCTTCTGGGGTATCTTTGCCTTTTCCTGATGAGTGGGTGTTGCGTGTCAGTGACCCTTTACTGCACTGTACCCCTTGTGCTGGCAGTTTTATGTCAACTTGACACAAGCTGGAGTCTGAACAATCCTGCTTGTGTTCTCTTTCATTCAGAGCAGGAGACCAGGGACTAGCAATTTCAGTATGTACCAGGCACTCCGTTGGTACACCTATGCTGAACAATGATGGTTGTGTTCTCTTTCATTCAGAGCAGGAGACCAGGGACTAGCAATTTCAGTATGTACCAGGCACTCCGTTGGTACACCTATACTTGCCAGGACTGTTACTAAATTATGCCTTTTGGCCTTGGGGTAAACATCTCTGGAAAAGTATATCTGAGCTTCCCTGCCTTCTGGGGTATCTTTGCCTTTTCCTGATGAGTGGGTGTTGCGTGTCAGTGACCCTTTACTGCACTGTACCCCTTGTGCTGGCAGTTTTATGTCAACTTGACACAAGCTGGAGGATGGATACTCAATTGAGAAAATGCCTCCATAAGATGGTCTGTAAGTGAGCCTGTAGGGCATTTTCTTAATTAATGGTTAATGGAGGAAGGCCCAACCCATTGTGGGTGGGGCCATCCCTGGGCTGGTGGTTCCAGGGTCTACAAGAAAACAGGTGGAGCAAGCCATGAGGAACAAGCCAGTCAGCAGCACCCCTCCATAGCCTCTGCATTCACTCCAGACTCCAGGCTCCTGTCTGTCTTGACTGTCCTGACTTCTAGAGATGAGCAGTAATATGGACGTGTGAGCCCTTTCCTCCCCAGCTTCTTTGGTCATGGTGTTTCATGGCAGTGATAGCAGTCCTGACTAGGACAGGCATAGAGAAAGTAAGGTAGAGTAGGAGTTCCTAAGCCAGGCTGAGGACTGGCCCAGTGGCATGACAACTGCTAGGCTCTTGGCAGATAGCGTTCTGCTCTCCCCAGTGCTGGGGCTGCAACCCAGGGCTTTTGCATATGTAGGTAAGTGCTGTACTGGGGAGCCACACACCATTCCCCAGAAACTCCTCTGGTAAGGGGATGAGGGGGCTGGGGACATATTAGGTTCACAATAGTTGGGCCTGCAATTTCAGGAGCTTCTGCAGATGCAGATTTTCAGGCTCTTGATGGGAGGAAGCAGCTAGCTAGTTTTCTCAACAGTCCCTTTTTTCTACCTAGAAGCAAATATACCGAGATGTCACAGCGCTCACCCAGTGACCGTCACAATGACTGCATGCGTTTTCCTCATGCCCTCCTCAGGGTAGGGCAGGGTGCAAATCGAAGGGAAGTGTCTGTGTCTGTTAATCTCGCCTCTGCCAGGTCAGCCCAGGCAGTCTGAGAGGTCAGGAGGGATTTGTAAAGATAAGCACTGGCCCCTTGTTACCCTGGTGATAGACTCCGCCCCTCCAGCTAGGCCTTAGGGAGAGCCCCTCCCTTCCCTTGCTCTGGGCTCACTGTGGGCTGGTCGGGGCCACCCTGGAGTGCGGTGGGACTGGAAGTGACCAGTCTCTGGATTGTAAAAAAGGCAGATAAAACTGTTGACACCACTGGTATCTAGGCAGCTCCGGGCCTCTTGAACCCTTCTACTTGTCCCACTAGAGGTGGCTTTTCTAATTGTGGGGCTGGTCTCTGCCTTGCAGGGAGTTCTTAGGGTATCAGCCCTCTGCTGGGCTTTGGGAGGACCCATAGAGGATCAAAGCTCTTTCCCCTGATGCTGTGGCCACTTGACGCAGAGGGTTCCGGGCTAGTGGCCAAGCTCCAGGTTGGGGTGAGGGGATGGAAACCTGGGCCCTGGTGGGATTACAGTGGGAGCTATTGGCAAGGGCCCAGTGGCAGGCACTTCTTAAGAGGCATTATAACCACTCTGGACCTTTTGGGCTTAGGGTTCCTGGCTATCATGGCCACTGTCTCTCAAGGGGGGTTCACTGGATGTCAAGGATCTTCACAACACTGAATCTGTCTGATGCTCCAAACCATGCTTTTTCCTAACGGTGCTGCATCCACTTCCCGCCGCACCCACCTGACTATCTTCCCATCACCCATCAAACTGTCTTCTTACCCTCATAGGGCATCTATTCTGGGGCACCTGCACTGGCCCTCCCAGTCCAGTCCCAGGGGCAGAAGCAGAAGGCCCACCCACTGCCTGCAAGCCCTCCAGAGTAGCCCAGGCTGCCCTTTTCCTCAGCCCACAAGTTCAGGCTTGACAGAGGCCTGGGAATGGATGTCTGGGTTGGGATAGCTGTGAGCAGAGGGGCCCCTTAGCCAGAAAGTATCTCAGACTCCAGAACCTGACTCCCTGCCTGGCTCTGGTGGGTGCTAGGCCCTGTGTATACGGAAGAACCCTGGGCACTTGAGATGGCACTGCACAGTCTCCCTGAGTCTACTGTCCCCATGGCTTGCTGTCCTCCATCTGCTGCTGGGATGGAGTGTGGGGATCTGGCCAGCAGCCGCCCTGCCCCATGGAATGTGGATGACGCCTGACAGGCTGCCAACCTTATCCGGAGGGAGGGGGAATCACCATGGAGTGGGGGAAGGGAAGGTGCCGGGCCTTGATGCTGCTCACTGCTCAGGTCTGGTTAGTGTCTGCATGACAACCTGGGGGGAGGGTAGGTCCTGGAACTCCAGGTAGGGGGTAGAAGGGCTCCTCTCCCTCACAGTTGTATCTGGCACCTGAGGCTTTGAACCCTTCTGCCACCCAAAAGGAGGAGGGAGCTTACCCATGGTCTCATAGCTCATGGTTCTCTGAGCTGGGTTTTAGACTTGTTAGTAATAAGCTTTCAGGCTGGCATGAAGTGAAGGAACAGGCTCTCTGAATTTGGCTTCAAAATCAACACAGCGTGCTCCAAGTGTATAGAACCTGGTTCAGTATCCAGTGAGTAGGTCTCGGTCTCTGTCTCGGGTACTTATGCCAGGTATTTGCTTTCGGGGGGGTGGGGAGTGGGGAGGATGAAATGGGTGCTAGGGATCCTCTAGAAGTCCCAGGCAAGGAGGCAGGAAGGTGGGACCAGGGTGGGCAGGAGTGAGAGAGGCTGAGTCAGGCCTGGCCTTTGAAGTCCATTCTTTCTGTGAGGCTGAGTTCGGACATCTCAGGTTTCAGTCAGGGATGGAATTACCAGACCCCCAGCGGGAGCTTGGGGGGATAGAAGCTGTCCCCTCCTTTGTTTCCTCCACCCCACTTCAGGCTGCTGAGAGGACACAGGCCTGCAGAATGGAAAGGCCTGGCGAGCTACTCCCTGGTGCAGTGGGACCAACCTGGCATTGAGGTCTGTTCCTTGTGAACTTACTGTGTGAAATCAGCAAGTCTTTACTTTCTTGAGCTTCTGTTGCTTGTCTGTAAAGTGAACATAGAACAGTCCAAGCCTACCAGGGGTGCTATGGAGGTGACCAGAAGAAAGCAGCGTGGGTACTATCTGTTATGCAATGCTATGACATGGGAGGCACTCATTCTGTCCTCTGTCTCTGTTTTCTAAATACAACTAAAACCTGCCTGGGCCTAGGGGTATAGCTCAGTCTGCACTGTGGTTGCCTTTCACCAAGAAGCCCTGGGCATTCCATCAACCTGGAATGCTAGTGTATGCCTATAATCCCAGCATTTAGGAGGTGAGAGGGAGGATCCGACATTTAAAGTCATCCTTGGATACAGAGCAAGTTCCAGGCTAAATTGGACTATCGAAGAGTGTTTCTAAAAATAAACACAAAAATAAGTAAAGAAAACCTTAGTCCCAGGTGTAGGTATCTGCCATTCATGATCAGCTTATAGATGTGCACACAGGCTCTTAAAAACAGACAGTCCTGTGTTATCTTTATGTTTGTTGCTAACAGTGAGGGAAGGGTGCATTATGCAGAACCTGCCCACATAGCCAAATTGCTTTCTTTTTCTACAGGGTTGGTTCCTTCAGAGACCCCAAGCGCCTGTGCCTCAGACCCATGTGCCCCAGGGACCCAATGCCAGGCTACAGAAAGTGGTGGCTATACCTGTGAACCAGTAGAGCTTGGAGGCTGTGCTTCTCAGCCATGCCACCACGGAGCACTGTGCGTGCCCCAGGGCCCAGATCCTAACAGCTTCCGCTGCTACTGTGTGCCTGGCTTCCAGGGTCCCTACTGTGAGCTGGATATTGATGAATGTGCATCCCAGCCCTGCCACCATGGGGCAACCTGCCACAACCTAGCAGATCACTACGAGTGCCACTGCCCCCTGGGCTATGCAGGTAATGGGACCAATCAACCTGGAGGGCTGGACCATGGAGGCCATCAGCTACTCATAGTGTGAGCATCCCTATAGGCTTTGGCTTAAGTCTAGAGATGCCCCAGGCTGGCTAGCAGCTTTGGTACCCACTCTTGGGCTGGTGGCTCAACTGATGTTTCTTGGGTTAACTTGGCAGGTGGGATTGGTTCAGCTAACCTAGCAGGTGGGATCGGTGCATGTATGTTTAGGTGTTATTGTGGAGCCTGGCACATATTAGGTAATGGATAAATATTGCTTTGTCCCTGCCACAGAACTGAATTAGGTCCCAGTTTGAATGTCCACAGGCAACCCTGGCAGGGCATATCTGCCTGGTTTGGCTTTCATGACGATGCCCAGATGGTATCTCTGGCATTTCCTCAGTCTAGACCTGTGTCAGGCTGTCATGTAGACCCTGTGGAGCTCACCTGATGGATCCTGCTGTAGTTTGGGATGTAGTGCAGACCTCTGTCCTCTAGGCATCCTGGATCTGGATCCTTTTCTGTCTGTGATGGGGATGTGTCCCTAGCCATCCTTGTTGCTTAGAGTAGAATAATGTAGAAACAGGTGCCTAGCAATGTGGCTGTCATGGACACACATGGCTTTCTCTTCCGGGGAACACCTAACCCCAGTCCCTTTCTGCTCCCACTGATGCTTTCTGGAACTGCCTGACATCAAGAGGGAGGGTACAGCTGGGGAAAGGTCTTCAAAAGATGTTTAATTTAGTGCAGTTTTGGGTCTACAGCATAGACACTGGGGTTTCTGTCAGCCCTGAATTTAGAGACTGTGTTCAAACTTTGGGGCAGTTTGAAGTCCCCTCTGGGCAAATGGTATAGACTGGGGGCCAAGTTCCAGGAAGAACATAGAGATGAGAAGGCAAAGTGGGTCCCTGCATCTTTCCCTCTCAGTGTCTGTACATTTGTGCAGGTGAGACTGTGGGTCCCATGCGTATGGTAACTCTAAAGGCCCTCTGAGCACCTGCTGGTGTCATGTCTGTGTATGCTTCTGTGGGAAGCACGCACACGTGTGTGTGTGTGTGTGTGTGTGTGTGTGTGTGTGTGCAGGTGTGTGAGTACCGCATGTGCAGGTGTGTGTGTGCAGGTGTGTGCAGGTGTGTGAGCACTGCATGTGCAGGTGTGTGTGTGTGTGTGTGTGTGTGTGTGTGTGCATGCAGGTGTGTGCAGGTGTGTGAGCACTGCATGTGCAGGGTGCCAGTGAATGTGATGTGAGCAGGCAGCTTTGAGTGACTCATTTCTCTCCTCCTTCTGCTCAGAGCAGGGTGGGGGAGTTGGGATTCCAGGCAATCTGGGCCTGGCTCTCCCTGGCACAGAGGGTGGGAGTGGGGCTGGAGGGTCATGGGAAGGAGGAGTCCTGAGGCTTGCTGGCTGAGAAGTAGGGAGGACTCCAGCTGGAGGCAGCTGGCTACTTAGCCCCCATGACAAAACCTACTTAGGAGGGGGGAAGGCCATGGAAATCTACACTGACAGGGCTTGTCTCATAAATCCCACACCCGGAGATCCCCTATCTCCCTCCATTTCTCTCTGTCTCCACTCCTATCCTGGGAGGGCCAACTTGTACCCAGGGTTTGCCCCGAGGCATGGGAATTCCTGGGTGGGACCAGGGACTTCCAGTTTTAAAGCCAAGGCAGGATGGGAGTTGGTGGCCCTACTCCAGTGTGTCCTGTCCGGAGTGCCCTCTTTTGTGGGCTCCCTTCCTTCCTTCCTTACATCCTTCTCAAAGCCACACTGCTGTGCGAAGTCTGCTGTATTGGTTACCCTTCTCATTGCTGTGGTTAAAATACTTGACAAGAAGCAACCAAAGGAAGGGAATACACTTTGGCTCTTGTGGGGGTGCTGTCCATCATGGTGTGGAAGGCAGGGCTGGAACAGCATGAGCCATCTGGTCACACCGGGTCACCAGATGCTGGCGCCCAGCTTGCTTTCTATGGTTTTTTTGTTTTTATTCGATCCAGGATCCCATCCTGCCTTCCTCAGTTGAACCTTCCTGCAAACTCCTTATAGATACAGCCAGAAATGTGTCTCCCAGGTGATTTAAAGTCACATCAAGGTGACCACAAAGATTGACTGTCATTACCCCTACCAACAATTTACATTTTTTAAAAGATTTATTTATTTATTTATTTATTTATTTATTTATTTATTTTGGTTTTTCGAGACAGGGTTTCTCTGTGTAGCTTTGGAGCCTATCCTGGCACTCGCTGTGGAGACCAGGCTGGCCTCGAACTCACAGAGATCCACCTGCCTCTGCCTCCCGAGTGCTGGGATTAAAGGCGTGCACCACTAACGCCTGGCCAATTTATTTATTTATTAAATATACAGTTGTCTGCCTGCATGTCAGAAGAGGGCACCAAATCTCATTATGGATGATTTTGGTTGCTGGGAGTTGAATTCAAGACGTCTGGAAGAACAATCAGGGCTCTTAAACTCTGAGCCATCTCTCCAGCTCCCCAACTTACATTTTTTAAGGTTTTATTTTTATTTATGTGTATGTCATGTGTATGGGGTGCTAGAAGAGGGACTGGAGAGAGGGAATACTAGGAATACTGTCTGAGCATCCTCATGAAAGCCAGGCCTGCTTTGTCAGGGCAAGTGTGAACTGCTTAATGTGGGTGCTGGGCACGGAACTCCAACCCTCTGGAAGGGCAGGGAGTCAGTGCTCTTTATGGCTAAGTGATCTCTCTAGGTCCAAAGCCTGACCAGTCTGGATGGGGAGGAGTCTGATGGAGTACTGGATCCTCTCATGACTCTCACCTCCCTCCTCCACTCTCCCCAGGTTCTGTCTGTTTTCCATTCTTCCCCCAGGGCAGTGTGCCTCTGCCTCAAGAAGGTTGCCACCAGCTGTTATCCACCTGCCCTACTTTAGTCTTCAAAAAGTTGTTTCTGAAGAAGTCCCCCACCCCCAGCACCCCAGGACAGATCCTAGCTCCTGCCCTCAAGGGATTCAGTTCGCTCTCTTGTTGAGGTCATCTGTATTAAACACCAGCCCTTTCTGGGTCTACCCCGCTGTGAGGCTACCAGGGCAAGGAAGGTCCTCTTTACCCAGCATCACCTCCTCTAAATGAGTGAACCACTGGAGCACATTGGGACTGCTGGCTGGGTCCCTATAGCCCCTGTAGATGTGGTTCCCATGTCTCCTGCCCCTGTCCAGGCATAACCTGTGAGCACGAGGTGGACGAGTGCTTATCAGCACCCTGCCTGAACGGAGGCTCGTGCCTGGACGGCGTGGGCTCCTACCGCTGCATGTGCGCTCCAGGTTATGCCGGCGCTAGCTGCCAGTTGGACGTGGACGAGTGCCAGAGCCAGCCGTGCGCGCACGGGGGTGTGTGCCATGACCTGGTCAACGGGTGAGCCCTCGGAGGGGTGACCTAGCTGCGGGGAGGTGGGCTACAGTATGGACACATACTCAGCTCCTACCCCATCTACGCCAGTTTCCGGTGCGACTGCGCGGACACAGGTTACGAAGGTGCCCGCTGCGAGCAGGAGGTGCTGGAGTGTTTGTCAGCGCCCTGCGCACACAATGCGTCCTGCCTCGACGGCCTCCGGAGCTTCCGCTGCCTCTGCTGGCCAGGTGTGTGGTGCCTGCGCGCCTCTCTCTCTCTCTCTCTCTCTCTCTCTCTCTCTCTCTCTCTCTCTCTCTCTCTCTCTCTCTCTCTGTGTGTGTGTGTGTGGTGAGGGGGAGAGCTTGCGGGCCAATGTGGTGGGGCAGGTGTGAAGGCCCTCTGAGACCTGCAGTGTAACTTAACGTGGGTGAGTCTCAAGTTCCCTGACCTGCAAACAGGGCTGCTAACAGCACCTACCCTTGGGTTGTAGAGAGGAGCGATGGTGTACCTGGCACACCAGAAGGACATCTGAGTGAATTCATAGCAATTAGTAGCAGGCCATCACAGTGCCTACAGTCTCTCTGTCAGCATCCACACCCTGAGCTCGTGGCCCCATCCTGTCCTGGGCTGGCTTGGGTCATGGAGGGGAGCTGCCTGATCACTTGTTTCCTGATGCCTTCATGTGTGCTCCAGGCTTCGGCGGAGAGCGGTGTGAAGTGGATGAAGATGAGTGTGCATCGAATCCCTGTCGTAACGGGGGCCGGTGCTTGCAGCGCTCCGACCCAGCCTTGTATGGGGGTGTTGAGGCCGCCCTCCCGGGGGCCTTCAGCTTCAGCCACGCGGCTGGCTTCCTTTGCGCCTGTCCTCTGGGCTTTGCTGGTGAGTTCCCTACTGGAGAAGCACTCAGCTAGGGTTCAGATCCCCTAGGGTGGATCCAGCCTGGCCCATGACCTGGCCCTGCCAGGTGCTACCTCTTTCTCTTTCTCTCTGGGTCTCAATCTACACAGTTGTAAAATGGACACTTTTGGTTCTTGGACCTGGGGTGCAGGCAGCAGCCACAGCTGATCCTTTTGTAGGGGATGACTGCAGCGTGGACGTGGACGAGTGTGCCTCAGGACCATGCCTCAATGGTGGCAGCTGTCAGGACCTGCCCAACAGTTTCCAGTGCCACTGCCGGGATGGATACACAGGTGCACAGGTGGGGCGGGCATGGCATGGAGATGAGGCTGCATGATATGTTCCCTTCTGGCTGAATATGAATTGATACATACAGGAAATGAGACTGAAGGTGGGTGTGGTGGCACAGGTGACTGCTGGGGATGTGTGCTGAACTAGAACCCCAGCTTTGTAAGTGGATGGGGAGGGACTGGTCCGTTTGAGTAGTCAGGAGGAAGCATGCAGTGGGTGGCATCAAGGCTGCCGGATGATCTGACCTGGGGAATGTTGGCTGATGTTGGTTGGTTGGTGACTTCCGCCTTGTAGATATGGAGTGTCTGTGGAGCTAGGGCCAGCCTGGGAGGCCCGAGGATCAGCACTGCGGTTCATGTACAGATGTCTGGTGTCTGAGGCTGCAGGCTGTCTGAGAGGAACAGCAGAACAATAACCAGGAAGCTAGGCCCTGAACTTTGCTATCAAATCAAAGGGGGACATGGCCTCAGCCAAAACAGAAGAGAGACAGAGCTGTGCACACGTGTCTGCCTTCCGAAGGACACACCTTGCTTCCTGGGAGCTGTGCCTGCTGTCAGTGCAAAGCTCTCCTTGCAAACACAGGGCCACCCCTGAACCTGTACACAGGCTTCTCTTCTCTAGTGACCCTGCCCCCGCTGGAATGTGGTTAGCATTCCTGCTTAGCATACAACAGGAGCTCCTTTTCCTGCAGGTCCCTGGAGGCAAGTTCCTTTGCGTGGGGAAGGGGCTGGAGATACATTCCCTTCTTCGTATCTTGACCACTCAAAGATATTAGAGCTTACCAGGCGTGATGGCGCACACCTTTAATTCCAGCACTTGGGAGGCAGAGGCAGAGGCAGAGGCAGGCAGATCTCTATGAGTTTGAGGCCAGCCTGGTTTACAAAGTGACTTCCAGGGCAGCTGGGGCTATACAGGAAAACCCTGTCTCCAAAACCCCCAGACAAACAAACAAGATATTAGAGCTCAATGCCCTCACATTGGGTGGCCCATGCCAAATCCCCTGTTCCTATTGCCTGAGTCCCTCCCTCCCACATCCTCCCCAAGTGGCCCACTCCTCCATAGTCTCATAAGGTAGGGTTTGCCATCCCCATCTCACAGATAATGGCAATGAAACCTGGAGGAGGGTGTCTATACAGTGTCTGTGGGAACTCAGCTCCTTCCAGTTCAAAAGTTAGTGGGTGGCAGGGAAGAGATCTCTGAGTTTGGAGTCCTGGAGGAGAGACCCTAGTTGGTGGGAGAGGTCCACCTGGCACTCCTGAGTTATATGGAGGGAAGGCCAGCAGCCCAGGCTGGGAGCCCCCTCCTAAGCCTTGATGCATCTATAGATGACATGGGGCTGTGGGCCTGGGCCCCTTTCTGGGGAGCCTGTGGCTCCTAGCAGGTAGGAGGACTGGGGCCTCCCAAAGGGAGAGTTTACAGCTATGCCTGGTGATTCTGAGGAGGAAGCTATAGCTGTGTGGGCTGACTGATCCTGACTGACTCCTCTGGGCCTGGGTCTCTCCAGCTGAGGTATGGGATGAGGATGGCCTTGGCTTGTGCTGTGGAGGTTCTGGCTGAACTGGGGTTTCATTTAGGCCTTTGATCCTGGAGGAGAAAAGGAGGTGGTACCTTCCCAGGCAATGCAAGGACCCTTGGGCAGACCCTAGGGCAGAGGGACTGAAGAGTGGGCCCTGAGAGGCTGCTCAGTGTGCTCCAGGTGTTATCAGTCACTGTGGCTGGTCCACGCCTACAAAGGCTATACCAAGCCCCTTTACTGGGTACCAAAGACAGATTCAGGCTCCTGAGGGACATAGCTGAGTAAACAGACATTCTTAGCTCAGGGCTCTGGGGAGTTGTGTCTGAGTGGTGGAGTGGTGGAATAGTTTGGGCACAAGGGAGCTCTGGGTCCTCTGAGGGCTTTGTGGGGTGAGAAAGAGTTTGAAAGGTGAATTGCTGGGTCATATGTAGCAAAGGATTATGACCAGGTGACACCTTGGAAAGAGACTTGGTTACTGGGGAGACAGATGGGGAGGAACTTCTAAAGGCAGCTAACCTACAGCCTGCCGGACCAGCTCCAAGAGCTGGCAAGGCAAGAGGCACTGGGTGGAAAGTGGAGTCAGGAAGTGCTTGGGGAGTCAAGCCCACAGGCCATGGAGACTTTTGAGACACAGCCAGGAAAGGGGACCCTGGGCGGCCTGGTTTATAGGTGCCTAGGTCAGCATCACCAAGAAGCACGTGAGTCTGAGTGAGGCTGTGGCTCTGGCCTGGCGTACTGACTTTTGCCTGATCTCTCTCCTTTAGGCCTGACATGTCAGGAAGATGTGGATGAATGCCTGTCAGAACCTTGCCTGCATGGTGGGACCTGCAGTGACATTGTCACAGGCTATATCTGCCAGTGCCCCAAGGACTGGGGTGGACATGACTGTTCTGTACAGCTCACGGGCTGCCAGGGCCACACCTGCCCACTAGTTGCCACCTGCATCCCTACCTTCAAGTCTGGGCTCCACAGTTATGACTGTCACTGCCCACCTGGGACCTATGGGCCTTTTTGTGGCCAGAATACCACCTTCTCGGTCATACCCGGGAGCTCTGTGTGGGGATTGGTGCCAGCTGGTGACTCTCTGGGTCTGGTACTGCGGTTTTGTACTACACTGCTTGCTGGGGCCCTGGCCACTCTCAAGGACACCCAAGACAGCTTGGAGTTGGTACTGGTGAGGGCCACGCTCCAAGCCACACTCTTGAGACATGGTACTGCTGTACTTGTCCTTACACTGCCAAACCTAGCCTTAAATGATGGCCACTGGCACCAGGTGGAGGTGGCACTCCACCAGGGATCCCTGGAGCTGCGGCTCTGGCATGAGGGCTGCCCTGGCCAGCTCTGTGTGATCTCTGGTCCTGTGGCTACAGGTCCCACAGCCTCAGTAGCCTCTGGCCCACCTGGGCCCTACTCCATCCATCTTGGTGGCTGGGCCTTTGCAGGCTGCTTCCAAGATGTGCGTGTGGCAGGGCACCTTCTGCTGCCTGAGGAGCTCAATGGAAACGTGCTCCTGGGTTGCAAGCGCAGGGAACCTTGCCAACCTCTGCCGTGTGCCCATGGAGGGGCCTGCGTGGACCTGTGGACTCACTTCCACTGCAACTGCCCAAGACCCTACCATGGGCCCACATGCACTGACGGTGAGGGGTGAGCGGGTGGGGAGGTAGCATCAGTGCTGGGCCCCTAACCTGCTGGCCTCACCCCAGTACTGTCTCTCCCTGCAGAGGTTCCTGCTGCCACCTTTGGCTTGGGCGGCACCATGAGCTCAGTCTCCTTCCTGCTCCACCAGCTGCTAGGCCCAAACCTCACTGTGTCATTTTTCCTTCGCACTCGGGAGCCTGCTGGTCTGCTGCTCCAGTTTGTCAATGATTCAGTGGCTAGCCTAACTGTGTTCCTGAGTGAGGGCCAGATCTGGACTGAGGTGCTGGGTCGTCCTGCTGTAATCCTCCCTGGGCGCTGGGATGATGGACTCCGCCACCTGGTGATGCTTAGTTTTGGCCCTGACCAGCTGCAGGACCTGGGCCAACAGCTGTATGTGGGTGGGAGGCTCTACCCCGATGACACCCAGCCCTGGGGTGGACCCTTCCGAGGATGTCTCCAGGACCTGCAACTCAACGGTCTCCAGCTCCCCTTCTTCTCTTCACCAATGGAGAACTTAAGTTGGCCCAGTGAACTGGATGCTGGCCACTCCTCTCACCTCACCCAGGGCTGTGTCTCTGAGAACATGTGCAAAGTGAGTGCCTGTGGCAGGGTTCTTAGCTAGGATCTGTGCTATGACATAGGCAAACTGAGGCTTAGACAGTCACATGACCTGCTCAAAGTCCTGTCATTAGAGTGGCAGAGTAGGAGTATACCTGTTTCCTTCCTGTCCAGTTGTTCTTTCCTTCCAGTTTTCCCAGGGTCCCATTTGTCCCAGTCTGAGACGACACCCTGACCTAGACAGAGGATGGGCCTCAACCTTTCTTCAGTTGTTGCTCGTGGGAAAAGGCCATGGGGGTTATGAGCAAAGCATAGGCTGGAATAACCTGGTGCGAATGAGGCCAGCCTCTTTACTGGCTGGGCCCCTCAGACTAGGTGGCTTCACCTCTCTGGGCCTAGTCTCCCATCGATAATGTAGGGTGATGGCAAGTTCCCCTCAACTCTGTGGTGAGGTGGTCCTTGGGGGGTGGGGTGCCACTTTCCTGGTTGCTCACTGGTATTATGACTCTTCCACAGCCCAACCCTTGTTTCAATGGTGGAACTTGCCACATCACCTGGAACGACTTCTACTGCACCTGTTCTGACAACTTCACAGGGCCCACCTGTGCCCAGCAGCTGTGGTGCCCCAGCCAGCCTTGCCTTCCACCTGCCACCTGTGAGGAGGTTCCAGATGGCTTTGTGTGTGAGTTTGGGTGCTGAAGTTGCTTAGATCCTCTAGGGTTTATGGGATGTTGGGCTGTGGACCAGGAGTGCCAACAATACCAGTATGGCGGGGCCACTGCATTCTGAGGGACAGAGACTCTTTGGGCAACTTCAAGTGAGCCACAGAAGAGAAACTTTAGGAAGGGGGTGTGGCATGTGTGAGGTTTTGAGGTTCTTAAGGACAGCAGAAACACAAGGTTAGGAAGATGCTGTAGGAGATGGATTGAGAAGTTGGTAGGGATTTGAAACTCAGCTTAGAAACCAAGGGTCCCATGTTACTCACACTAGCCTTGAACTCACTATGTAGCAAAGGGTGATCTTGAACTTGTGGTTGTCCTGCCTCAACTTCCCCAGTTCAGGGACTCCAGATGTGCCCCACCACCACCCAGGGCCTTCTGTATGCTCTCTACCGACTGAGCTACATTGCCAGCCTTACAGAGGGTTGTAAATGGAGAGGGATGTGATTGGACGTCCACCTGAACAAGGGAAGAGTGAGCCTCCCTCAGGGAGGAGGGGAGCAGGTTGGACTTGAGTTGATATTGTTGATGTGTCTAATGCTTTCAGGGTAGCAGGTGCTGTGGTCCCCTTAGGATCGCCCTGGAACTGATTCCCTCCAGGTGGAAAATGCACACGGGGTAGAAATGGGAGGCTGCAGTTTCTGAGGTCAGGTGACAGATGCCTGCCTTGGTCAGTCCTTGTGGACAGTAGACCCCATCACCTGCACGCCGGGGGGAGGGGTGTAGGAGTGGTGTGTGGAGAAGGTCATTTCCCAGTGGCTCTAACTCTCTCTGCAGGTGTGGCTGAGACTACGATCCGTGAGGGCCCTCCTGCTGTGTTCAGTGGCCACAACGTGTCCTGGGCGCTGGCGCTGAGCGAGCTCACCCTGGCCTTCCGCCCTGGCCACCCAGAGGCTGGGCTGCTGCG